CCTAACCTGTTTCCCCAGTGACCGTGTGTTCCCCTTCTCTTGCTCTAAGAGTGACCTCACGACGTCGGTCGTCTTAACTAGGTCAGTGACCACGCCCTTCTCTCTCTTGTACTTGATCTCTGTGGCGTGGGACCTCATGGCCAGGAAGTTGTCCAGTTCGGTGTCCTTCTCCTTCTCGAGGAGACTGAGGCATCTCCTGGGAGGGGGGGGGTCATGGTTAGAGGACATGGTGATGAAGGACATAGTGCGGGGATATGCTGAAAGGATGTTTTGAGAGAATATAGTGAGGGGACATGGTGATGAAGGACATAAGGCGGGATATGTTGAAAGGACATTTTGAGAGGACTTTTTGAGAGGACATTATGATGAAGGACATTGTGCGGGGATATGTTGAAAGGACATTTAGAGAGGATATGGTGATAAAGGACAAAGTGCGGGGAATATGCTGGAAGAACATTTTGAGATGACATGGTGAGAGGAAATGGTGATAAAGGACATAGGACAGGGATATGTTGGAAGGACATGTTGAAAGGACATTTTGAGAGGATATGGTGAGAAGACATGATGAAGGACATAGTGCGGGGATATGTTGAAAGGACATTTTGAGAGGACATAGTGAGAGGGAGGACATGGTGGATTTTAGTTTTAGTAAGTGTTTTACGGCACTTAAAACATAATGAGGTCATATAAGTGCCGAAGATTAGAGATGTTACAAGAGAGTAACATACACACAAAAGAAGCAGGAGAGATAAGGACGATAGCTGTTTGATAGGAAAGAAGGAACAAACCATACCAGAGCACCCGCCAAACACCCACCAGCCAAATGGGAGGACGTGCGATCACATATATACGACAAAGTAGGATCAGACACAAGGGTTAACGTACGATCAGATATATTCGACATACTACAATCAGATATATCGGATGATGTATGATGAAATGCATAACGTACAATCAAACACATCCGACAACGTACGATCAGACGCACCAGACTACGTTCAATCAGATACATCCGATGACGTATGATCGACATATCCAATTGCATAACACCAGATACATCTGATTGCATACGATCAGATACATCCAATTGCCTAAGACCAGACACACCCGATGACACACAGGCCTACCATCAAACGCATCTGATGACCTCCGACGATCAGACACATGAGATGATAGGCGTAACTAAGTCTTAACCCTATCCGTACGCCTTGGGGTCATTTTGTACCCCATGGGTTGTATTCACTTTTTAGAATACTTCTTGAGCGAAGATCTCTGAAACGTTCAGCATTTCTCAAAAAATAATTTTGACAGACTGCTATGCAAAGGTTACGGATCCGATTAACGAGTAAATTTCCTCTTTCGGAAGTGGTGGCACAGAGTTCCCCACGTCGTATGGATACGATAGTAACACACGACGTACGTATTGGGTTAAGTGGTGGCACAGAGTTCCCCACGTCGTATGGATACGATAGTAAAACACGACGAAGTGGTGGCACAGAGTTCCCCACGTCGTATGGATACGATAGTAACACACGACGTACGTATTGGGTTAAGTGGTGGCACAGAGTTCCCCACGTCGTATGGATACGATAGTAAAACACGACGAAGTGGTGGCACAGTTCCCCACGTCGTATGGATACGATAGTAAAACACGACGTACGTATAGGGTTAAATCTTACCTCTGTTTGTTGATCTCGTGCGCCGTTCGACGCGTGAAGGAAGCCTTCTCCTTGTTGAATATGTAGATCTGCCGGCGCAGTTTGGCCTTGACCTTCTCGTCTGCCACCAACTCCTGTCTCTTCTTCTCTTTCTCTATCATCTCCGAGATGTCCATGGTGGGAGGTTTTTGTGGAGTGCTTTGGCTAGGGGGGAAACTTGGGGCAGGGTCCGGGGGGAGAGTGGATATATTGAAAAAGAGATATATTTACGGATCAATAATATCATATGTGGAGGAACGAAGAATAAACAAAAACAATATGGAAAAATATATGAATCTTCATAAAGAAATTAGACACAAATGTAATCTAGCAAAAGAGACCTGGTTAAAAGAAGAATGTGGGGAAATGGAAAATCATTCCAATGCGAACTCAAAAGATCTACACAGAAAAATTAAAGAGGTGTGCCATACAAGAACCCGTGAATCAACAGGATGCCTCAAATCAAAGGATGGGAATGTCATAATGGACAAAGACAAGATACAAGAAAGTTCGACAGAATATATTGGTGACCTGTACAATGACAAAGAGATGAACAAAGAAGAGTGGGAAATAACAACGAGGGACCACCAATCATGGAAGAAGAAGTTATCAAGGCACTACGAAAGATGAAGAATGGGAAAGCGGCAGGACCGGACAACATCACCACAGAGATGATTAAAGCTTTAGAAGACTTTGGAATCACCACGCTGACAAACTTCTTAACAACATATATGCCACTGGACATATTCCATCAGACTTGCCAAAATCTATCTTCATAGCTTTACTAAAGAAACCTAATGCAAACGAATGTGAAACGCATCGTACCATCAGCCTCATGAGCCACATAACGAAAATATTACTCAGAATAATTATGATGAGAATAAGAAATAAAATTCTCCCAGAAATAGCCCAAGAACAATGTGGATTTATTGAAGGCAAAGGCACTGTAAATGCCATATATGTCATCAGAACAACGATAGAACGTGCCCTAGAAGTTCAGAAAGATCTTCATTTATGTTTTGTAGACTACACCAAGGCATTCGACAAAATCAGGCACGACAAAATCATCGACATGCTGGAAGTTCTTAATATCGACGGGAAGGACTTAAGGATTATCAAAAACATGTACTGGGATCAAACTGCTGCAATGAGAATAGAAAACGACATCAGCGAATACATACAGATTAAAAGAGGAGTCAGACAAGGATGTGTACTTTCTCCAGACTTGTTCTCCCTGTATAATGAAAATATCATGAGACACATAGAAGAAATGCGTGGTATCTCGATAGGGGGACATAATATAAACAATCTAAGATATGAAGATGACACAGTCCTAATATCAGAAGATGAAGAACACCTGCAGAATTTATTAAATGTCATCGTACAAGAGAGTAACAACATGGGCTTAAGCCTAAACATCAAGAAAACCGAAACGATGGTGATAAGCAGAAATACTCCAATCCCAACATGCAATATCAAAATCAATGATACCACCCTCAAGCAAGTACAACATTTTAAATATTTGGGGGCCATTATATCATCAGATGGTAGATGTCACACCGAAATTAAAAGCCGCATTTGCCAAGCAAAAGCAACCTTCCACAAGATGAAACAGATACTAACAAACATCAATCTGTCACTGAAAATGAGGAAAAGAGTAATGAAAAGTTACATCGAGCCAACCCTATTATACGGGTGCGAAGCGTGGACAATCAATAAACAGCTGGAAAGAACAATTGTAGCGACAGAGTTGTGGTTCATAAGACGCATACTACGTATCCCATGGGCAGCTAGAAAAACAAATGAGGAAGTCCTGGTTGAAGCAAATTATAGAAAACAACTTATCACGAATATAAGAAAACGACAGGCAAAGTTCTTCGGACACACAATGCGGAAAGAAGCATTGGAGAATATTGTAACAACAGGAAAGTTTGATGGAAAGAGAGGCAGAGGCAGACAGAGGGAAAAGATACTGGACAAGATGACAACATGGCTGGGAGCAGCAAGAACAACACACACCATTGCTGCATCGAAAGACAGATGGAAGTGGAGGTCCATGATCGCCCACGCCATTCGGCAAGGCACCGGATGATGATGAATATCATATTATGAAAGACATGAAAAATATAATAATTGTTTGTTTTTAGTAAGCGTTTTATGGCACTTTCAACACAATTAGGTCATATCATTGTCTAAGATTAGAAAAGTTACATGAGTTTTTAAAAAACCCATCAACAATAACAAAATTAAGTAGGAGAGAAATGGACGATAGATGTTTGATAGGAAAGAAGCAGAAAACCACACCAGAGCATCCACCAACAACCCTCTTGTGATACATTGAAAGATAGATAGTTAGATAGTAGTAATGAATCAATAATAATGTATATATTATGTAAAAGAAATTAAGAATGTTAGAAAGATAGAAAGAACCTATATTTGAATAGAAAGACAGAACGAACGATAGCAACGAATTAGTATGAAATAGAGAAAGTAAGAAAGATAGAAAGAACCATTATTTAAAAGAAAGAAAGAATGTAGGTAATGCAGTATAAGAATCAACGAAAGGAAGAAAGAATATACTGAAAGAGGGAAAAATGTATTTTTTCAAAAATTATCATGTGAAGGAAAGAAAGAATGAAAGCAAGATATGAGCAATAAAATATGAATGGAGGGCGGGGGGGGGGGGGTAAGAGCCATACGAAAAATCGATAATTGTAGAAAGAAAGAACTGAACAAAGATTTGTTATTATGTATGTAAGAAAGAAAGAATTTCAAAAAATTAGAAAATAATGAAGTACAGTATTAGGAAGAGGAAGTGAAAAGTACAAGAATTAGAGTTTTGTTTGTTTATTTGTTTGTATTGGTTTTTGTTTACTTGTTGTTGTTGTTGTTGTTGTTTGTTTGTTTGTTTGTTTGTTTGTTTGTTTGTTTATTTGTTTGTTTGCTAGTTTGTTTTTGGTTTGGTTTTCGGGGTGTTTTGTTAGTTGTTGTTTCTTATTGGGGGGGGGGGTGGAGGGGGTGTTTTTTATGTACATCTCTCCTTGCTTTTTTCAGCATTTAGATCTAGAATCTAGATCTAGATCTCTAGAATTTGAATTTCAACAAAACATCACGGGAGCAGGTAATTTAACTGATAGATTAAGAAAATGCAATAAGGATTTTTTAAACTATCTAGATCTAGATCTAGATCTAGATTTCTAGATCTAGAAATATAGACTAAATTTGGGGGATTGGTTCATCTGAAAAGCTGGCCAACAATTTTCTATTGTGGTCTTCCTACCTCTGTCTCTTCCCGTTTGTCCTACTCTGACTCTAGATCTATCTACTGCGCCAGAAAAGCTCCAGTTGATCTAGCGCTTTCAAAACGACGTAAAACTCAAACCCAAAGAAAACGTGATCAGAACTTACAATAAAGTGGAAAGAACGGCCTTTTTGTGTGTGAGAACAGAGGTCGCTCGCTCCTTGCAGCCTCTTCTGTGTTCAGCACTGGTGTGAAAAGGTGTGTATTTTATAATTGTTTTGTTGTTGTTGGTTTTTTGTTGGCCTTTAGAACACAACACAAAACCAACAGAGAGTACAAGGCAACAAGTACGTGCTGCTAAATCCAACCTTCAAAGAGAAACCAGAAAGTGTGCCAATCATTCCTGGGACAAGTTATGCTCAGAAATTCAACAGGCCAGCCATACAGGTAATATCAGGAAAATGTATGAAAACACCAGAGTTGCTATTGGACTGGACCAACAGCAAACAAAGTGGCACCTCTAAAGTCTGCGACATGTGAACAGCTGACCGACAAGAAGAAACAAATGGAAAGATGGGTGGAACATTATTCAGACTTATACTCAGAGGAGCGACATGTTGATAGACAGCTACATGAGGCCATTCCTCAGCTCTCCGAAATGTCAGAACTTGATACAACACCAACAGAAGAAGAACTCCCCTCTGCAATCGATGGACTCGCTTGCAGAAAAGCAGCAGGAAATGACAATATACCTGCTGAAGTGCTGAAAGAGAACAAAGAGACCCTCCTCCCATATCTCTACAAGCTACTAACGACTTGTTGGCTGAAAACAGAAATTCCACATGACATGAGAGGTGCCAAAATCACCACACTCTACAAAAAGAAAGGGGACAAAGGAGATTGCAACAACTACAGAGGCATCTCACTGCTAAGCATCACTGGAAAAGGTTTTGCTAGGATCATCCTGAAGCGACTTCAGAAACTAGCAGAAAGAGTCCTACCAGAGAGCCAATGCGGTTTCAGATCAAACCGCTCAACAATGGACATGATCTTTTCTATTCGTCAGCTACAAGAAAAATGCAGGGAGCAACAACTGCCATTACATACTGCGTTCGTCGACCTGACAAAGGCTTTTGATACAGTCAGTAGATCAGGACTGTACACGGTGCTTGGAAAAATTGGCTGTCCCCCAATACTGCTAAAGCTCATCATCTCATTCCGCGAAGATATGAAGGCCACCATTCAGTTTGATGGTTCAACATCACACAGTTTCAACATCAAGAGCGGAGTAAAGCAAAGTTGTGTCTTTGCACCAACCCTTTTTAGCACTTATTTTGCCGTCTTACTGCAACACGCATTCAAAGAGTCACCAGGGGATGTCTTCCTCCACTGGAGAACTGATGGGTCGCTCTTCAATCTTGCAAGACTCAAGGCCAAGACCAAGATCAACAAAACAACAGTTCTTCTTTTCACCGATGATGCTGCTCTTGTTGCTCACAGTGAATCAACCCTACAAACAATGATGGACCGCCTATCAACAGCATGCAAGATCTTTTGCTTGGTTATCGGTGTTAAGAAAACAGTCATCCTTACCCAAGAAGGTGCAGAGCAGAGCCATATATGGCTGAACGACAAGGAACAAGACAGTGGACAAATTCTGTTACCTGGGGTCTACCATCAGCTCTACAACATCCCTTGATTATGAGATCAACATCAGGATAGGGAAAGCAGCAACAACTTTTGGAAGGCTGACAAAACGAGCATGGGAAAACAAAAGATTAACCATCAAAAGAAAGATCAAGATTTACGAAGCATGTGTCATTTGAAACATGGACCTTGTACAGCAGACAAGAAAAGCGCCTCCACATTTTCCATCTCAGATGCTGCCGCAAGATCTTAGGCATTTCGTGGCGTGACAAGGCTACATGTTGGAGTGTTGGCACGGCAAACCTCCAGAGCAGGACAACTATCCTGTGTTTTAAAAAAATTGACATGTCTGGGCCATGTCAAGAGAATGGTTGACAACCGGATTCCGAAGCAACTTCTCTTTGGAGAACTTGCCCAGGGAAAGAGATAAAGAGGAAGACCAAAATTGAGGTACAAAGACACCTGCAAAAACAGCATATCTAAGCTTGGAGTAGATGTTAACACCTGGGAAGAAATAGCCGAGGACGGAAAACATGAATGCAAAGGAGCAAAACGGATCAGATTCAGAGCACCCACCAACTGGATCTCTTTTATTTTGAAAACTTATGTTGTTTCTTTTTTTTTGGGGGGGGGGGGTGTTGTAAGTGTTTTACGGCGCTCGCAACTGCATACGGCCATAAACGCGCGACGGACACATTAAACATTTTTAGTATCGATTTTAAGCCACCAAGGGATTTTAACGTGCTCAGCTTGCACACGGGACCTCCAAAAATTTTTGCCCTTGTCCGAGAAGACTATGTGTACATCTTTCTAACCATAAGATCAGGGGTGTGGCTGAAAGACAGCAGTAAGGAGCCAAGGAGTAGGAGTAGAAAGGCTGCAGAAAAAGTCAGGAGCCCATTGAAGGGGGCAAAGGAGGAAGTGAGGGGGTGGGGCAGAAAGTGGAGACGAAAGCAGACGACAGATCATTACTAGAGAGCAGGAAAGGAGGTGAAAGGAGACAATATTTAGAGAAGAAAATTTTTTCTGTCGCTACCTAGATTCGAACGCGGCACCTTTGAATGAGAGGCGAACACTTTAACGTCTGGGCCACGAGAGCCCCTCCCTTATAGACTGTTATTCAGTCACGAACAGCTTAGGTCAAAAGTAACAGGGAGCAGAAGTAGAAGACCCCCGGGGCAGTGCCACTGACTGAAGTGTCTTTAGACCATTCCCAAAGGGAAGACATTTCTCGTTCAAGCATAGTAGAATTATAAATGGGCTGACTCATGTCACGCTCATAACTGTGCCTGATCTACAACAGGGAACTGCTGCTTTTGCTTTCCTGATCCTTACTATTGTCATTTCCTCTACTTCTTTTGTATGATTGTCACTCTCTCGTGACCTGCTATTTCCGGGGTGCCTTGATAGTCGAAGCAAACCTTGTGCTGTTGAAGCTAGAGAGGTCAGCAGTCTAAGTCTGATTCCTTGTAAAGACTTCCCTGTTGACACCCACCCCTTGGCGCTCATATGACCTTATGCAGTTGCGAGCGCCGTAAAACCCTCTACTATAAAAAAAAAAAAAAGAAGTAGAAGACACATGCCACACCAGAGCGCCCACATACCACCCGCTACCCAAAAGTTGACAAATCCAAAGAAAAACGCATTGAATGATTTTGTCAATGACGTATAGGGATTTATTTCTTTGATAAATTATAACATTCACATGGTTATCATTTTGCAGCACAATTTAAATCACTCCAAGAATGTTAGCAGAAATAGTTTATATCAACACTCTACAAAAAAATACAATTTGTCCAATTTGCAACACAAGCACCATTTCGTTCCGATGTACAAATTACAAAGCCCAAAATTTTGAAATACTTTTCTTTTTTTAAATATTAATTACAGTTTATTCTTAATCTTTGGTATCAGGTGTAAGAGTACAAGAAATAATTATTTTTTTTTCAAAATTCAAATTCTAAATGTTAAAAAAGCACATAAAAATATTTTCTAAAAAAACATAAGGTGATATAATTTCTTACAAAAGTACGCAGCTTTGTTTTTTTGTTGCTTTTTGTTGTTTTCTTTTCTCTCCTGAAAAAAAAAATTGCTTTCAGGGCTTGGTACATGAACCTTTTGACAGCTTGCTGACGTCATGTGCTACAGACATACACAGCATCATCATCAAACCATTCAGACAATCACATACACACAAAAGAAAAACCAAATCTTCTGTCACACTCTGTGTTGATGACAAAATTCAGGACTTTGATTAAAATCCCAAGGTGCTTATTATATTGTAATTGGTCGCTTGAGAAATTCGAAGGTAAAGTTTTTGCCCTTTGTTAATTTTCTTTAACATGGAGAGCTGTCTTTACGACCCAAAAAAATATACACACCAAAGAATTTAAACTTCTCCTCTAGGTAGGACAATGCCCACTTTTGGTGTAGGACAAGATTTCTGGAAACCCACGAAATCTGGGTTAGCCCGCTTGTCCTTAAAAGTGACCAATTGTAAATGTTTTATTTCTCCATCAACATAAAAATATTTAGGAAGCCGGCTGCTTTGCCCATGTCTTTCACGACCAACCTGGGTTGAAAGAGAAGCCTGATAATATCTGCAAACTCCGCTTTCAGCAAAAGAAAATTTTCGTTTTATTATAAGATATTAAGAGTATTACGGCACTTGCAACACAAATAGGTCACATAAGTGTTGATGATTAGAAGTATTATTAGAGAGAAAGATGCAGAGAATAGAAAGAGGAGAGGTAAGGAAGACTGACATAACATGAGAAGGAACTTCCCATTATGGGAATCAAACTCGCACCTTCTGCATGCGACAGCAAAGCACATAAATCCTACACAACACACGCCAGTAGGGGATAATAATATTGTGTTGCTTTAAACAGAACAACAAAAAAAACAACAAAAACAATCAAAAACAGAGAAACCAAAAAAAAATGTTATTAATCAGTGGTATCAGAGCAACAGATCAAGAGAAAAATCACAGGCAACAATATTGTCAAGGAATAAAACAGCGAAAAGATCTTGCGCACGTTTGTACACGTGTGTACATATAATAAACATCACGACATAACCGACGACAATAGAAAGAGCTTGTCAGCTGTTCAAACGCGCTCAAAACTTCAATTAAAACATTTTTTTCAAATTGCAGTTTCTTAATCTGAAGTATTTGATCCATGAACCTAAGAAAGGTTTACTCAAAATTGAAATTCTACAAGAAAAGATACAAAAAGAAGGTACACAATTTTCTCTCTCTCTTCGAAGATTTTTCTTTCTAGGCTTAGAACATGTGAACAGCTTTCCTACAATATTTCATCTGTTTCAGACTTTAGCCTGTATGCGCAAAACTAAGTCAAACACTATTTTTGTCAAAAATTCAAGTACAGCCACTATGTAACCCACATAGTGCCTTTAAAATTGATTTGTAAATCCATAATATGTATCATGTTAAGCGCATAGAGCATTGCGTAAGTGGATATGCGCTATATAAATGCAATCCATTA